ATTATGGTGGTGAGTATCAATCGGTAAGGCGACAACGAAGATTCAGCGATGTGTTCAATAGCAATAATTACATCAATCACGACTTTTCAAATTATCAAGTACACTAGAAATTCCATATTTTAATGCTTCTTGTCATGCCAATGATTTTATTTATTGGTTTCGCAAAGTTGACAAATTCCTTAAGTGTATGGAAATCTCTGAAGAAAAGCAAGCCAAATATGTCGCACGTAAGTTACAAGGTTATGTTTCTACATGGTGGAAACAATTGCAATATGATCGAAGGCGACAATACAAACAACCTATTAGGACGTGGCATAAGATGAAGAAGTTGATTAGTTCTAGATTCCTTCAAACAAATCATGGGCAAATATTGTACCTACAATATCAAAGAAAGCTTGAATCAAAACAATTGTTCCAAGGTAATTTTGATTCACAATATTCTTCGCAATTCAATAATTATTATGGAATTGTGGATACAGATTATTCGAGGAACATGACTACGGTTCTGCCAAGTTTGGGTCAATCAAGTCTTGTAGGTCAACAAATTTGTCATGCTCAACCACACATTGAAGAAGAAAAGATTTTGGGTACCTCAATGTTTCAAAATTTTGAAGACCCAAATATGAATTCAATTGAAGTAGAAAATCAAGTTGATTTCAACAATGGTGAGAACGTTGAAATTGATGAAAGAGAGGTTACTGAAATTACTTTGATCAAGAAATTTGAAGAGGACAATGAAGAGGTGCAGCAAGAGGAAAACGTTGAAGTTAGCCAAGAGCTTTCAATGACGGAACTATCATCTCTTGATTATTACAATGGTTATGAGATCGCAAAAGGAGATCTAGTTGAACTCAATGAAAAAGAAGAAATAAAAGATGAGGTAATAAAGTTGACATATGCACCAAAAAAGTTAATTGAGGATACAATTGATATTCGAAGATTGATAATTGAATGTCCAACTGAATCAAAGACAGAGCAGAGTCCAGAGAGTATCCAACATCAACATAAAATACACTTTGTTGATTTTCTTGGTGTGGAGCAATTTAATTTGATTTTCAATGCTTGTCTTATTAATCTTGTCAAACAGTTGAAACATATAGAGAATAACTTTCAGAAAGTAGACTTCTCTGCATATAATTTATGGAAGAGAGACAAACATCTAAAGTATTCCAAGTATCTTTTTATTTGGTATGGACGATGGCAGATCTCTAATATGAACTCGAGGGTGAGTTCTTTCAAAGAAGAGGAGTCTGATGTAGAACAAGATTTTCAGGACAAGATTTTAAGAATTTTTATATTTTTAGTTTTAATATTTTTGATGTATTATTAGGATTCTTGTAATTTAGTATAAATATTTTAGGATTATTAGGTTTCTTAATTTTATTATTTTAGAATTAGATTTTGACTAGGATTTTAAATAGTTTAGAATTTTAGTTTCCTATTCTCTTAGGTTTCCTAATTTGTGTTGATTTAAATTTTCTAATTTATTTTAGAATTACTTTTTCTACAAGTATTAGGTTTAGTTTATTATAAATAGCTATGTAAGTCTCATAGTAAAGAGAACTTTTATATACAACTTTTATTCATTCAATCAATAATATTAAGATATTTTCTCTTCTTTGTAGATTCAAGGTTTTATTTTTCTCATGGATTCGAGAGCCCCTTTCGTCTACTAGAACGATATCTAGTCCCTGTGTATTCCGCTGCGTCACTTTACATTTCCTTTCCAATTATTTGAAGTATTTTCAATAAATTGTTTTTGTTGTTCAAATATAAATCTAGCATATCGATTCTTTTTTCGAGTACGATGTTCTGAAATTGCATCTGTAATAAATCCTTTCATTAGTAATTGTCAAATCATAAACATTTTTTTTTCTTTTTTCATTGAAATTAACATACAAGTTCATACCATTGGTTGTGTCCATCTCTTTTTGTTGGTGGAGGAAGGGAAAAAAACTAATTTCAACTAAAAAAAATGAACAGGCATCAACAAATAAAATGGCTAAACTTATTTCACTAAAAAAATATAACTTAGATCAAAGTAGAAATTAGTTATTTTGCAAGAAAATCCAATCAATTTGTATGTATTAATATGTGAGTTTGAAAAGTCACTCATGCATATTTTTATACCACCCACTTAGAAGGCCAAGACCTTTCTGCATATTTTCATAATTAACATTATCATAGTTGGTTCGTATATATTGTGTTTTCTCTATAAAAGTAAAGTACACGATCAAGAAACTTAGGCAATTAAAAATCAATATACCAGAACTATGTGCAAAGTAAACAAATACAACAAATAGGATGATGAAAATTTTACACAAATCAATTAAGTAGAAAAGAAACATAGGCAATTAAAATCCAATATACCAGAACTATGAATGGAGAATGAAAATAAATTTAAAAAAGGTTGTAATACAGAGTCAATTGAGAGAAAATGCGATTGACTGTTTGGTTCTGAAATAAAGTGGGCTGTTACGTTTTGATTTAAAACCATTGGGTTATGTAATAGATTTGATCCGAAACATTTGAAGCAGATTGGGTAATACTGATTGTAGAATCTATTTTAGATTGCGAAACAGGGTTGTTACAAACCCTTCGGAGCATAGCCGATTATTATTTGTGAAAGTGTTGCAGTAGATTATGACCGGCAGTTGTTCCAAATCTTTCCACACAGAGTCTATTATTAATACGTAAAGTTCAGTTGAAAAAAATAATCCAAGGGCTATCAATTTGTCAACAAGGCCACTTTAAATCATCACCACTCTTTCAAAGTAGATCAATTGTAAAAATATTTATTTATTGTTATATATATTTTCATAATTTTTCTTAATTTGAATATCACAAAATTTCTCTCACTCACCGTTCATGAGAAGGCAGTAAAGAAGACAAATATTGAACAGGTCACAGTAGTTGAACTACTAAAAATATTAATCATAATGTTTGAAGGTGTTCGATATTTGAATACTCACCGTTCATGAGAAAGTAGTGGAAGAGACAAATATTGAACATGTTACAATAGTAGAATTATTAAAAAAAATATTCACATTATGATATTTAAAAGCTTTTAATGTTTGAAGGTGTTTGAATTTCAGAAGGCGTTTAGTTGTTCGACAGAAGTAAGTTGTTGTGTGATATTTAATAAGTTTAAAAATGTATTTTTCAAGATACAAAAAGAATAAAAAATATAAATACTCTTCATACTTTTAAAATAGTAGTAGATATATTTATATTTGATTTGTGTGCAAGTAACACTAGTCAATTTATAAAAGAATTAGGGGTGTAAGCTACGATGATTGTACTATTAAATTTATAAAATATAAATTTTAATTTTGAATTAGATATATATGTAGTGTTTGTTGATTAAGTAGTAAGGAATTTATTTTTCGAATCCAAAATGTTAAGTTTGAATTTTATGAATTTCATTTTATAAATTGTTTAAAAAAATTAAAGTGAATTATTCACCTATAGAATAGTATAGGTAAGAGTAGGCGCCTCCCAAAGAAAGAAGGGGAAAAAAAACAAAAGAGTGTCCAAGCGCGTAATCTTTTCAAGGGCCACCCACCGCCTTACTCTTCCTTCGAACCTTCCTCCTCAAAGACGCGTTCACACCTACCCCTCATCTTTATTATTATTATTATTATTTATTACTTTTTTTTATTTAAAAAATAACCCATCAATAGATAGATGATGGAAAAAAAAAAACCCTATAAATTAACTAAACCAGCCCTTAATGATCCCATTTTATTTATTATTTCATATGTGATAACGGTATTGATTGAGTAGATTTCACCATTCAAATGTATATTATATAGGGTTATTTTGGGTATGAGTTAGAAATTGACTTTTTTACTTACTATAAAAAAAATATGTAGATAAGTTAATTTTTTTATCAAATGTCTTATATAGGTATAGGACAAAAAATTTTATTTCCACATACCAAATTATCTCTGCTATATTTTTTCTCAATCCACACATTTAGTAATTTGATTTTTACTATTTTATCTCAGTTCACGCACTTCACATTCTAAATATACCCTTATTTTTTCTGTGCACATCCTCTCCTTGCCCTTTTTGTTCAGAGTATTATGATATTGTTGGATTGTGTTGTCACATCAACGACGAGCATCCTGTAGAGGCGAAGAATTATACTCGTTTTTCTTGCTATTGACGATTTAGTTATGCAAAATTTTATATTTTTACTTTATAGATATGTTTTCTCATGCTTAGTGTCTTTTGGGCATTTCTGGTCTATGTTTGAGTTTTGAAGATTTCTTTGCATTTCTTTACTGTTTGTTTGGCTTTAGAGCACCTAATTGAAATCGAATTTTGCTTTGTTGATGATGAGGGACTCACAGGAAGACTTAAAATGCTGTTTTGTTATTGTATGACATGGATTGTTGCAATTACATTCCCCGGAAAATAAAATAAATAAATAAAAATTTGTGGGGTTCATAAAACTGTGTATGGTTGAGGTTTAGACATGGGAGGCGATGGACTGCGGTGGCTGGCGATGAAGTGGTTGGTGAGATGGTGGTGGATGAGATGTGTATGAAAAAATTGTGAGATGTGTGGGTGATATGGTGGTGGGTGAACTGGTAATTTTGTTAAAGGATAAAATTATAATTTTGAAAAAATTCATTAAGTGTGTGAGTAAAGAAACTTAATGTGTGGAAATAAATTTTCCCGTGTAAAACTTACATTGGGATTAAAATAGTCATAAAATGATAAAATAAATTAAAAAGTCAATAATTTTTTTCTCACAGAAAGTCAAAAATTTTATTACAAAGGAGAATTTTTTTTGTTTAAAAAAAAGAGAGTTTTTAACCAAGATTAAAATACTTAAAAAATTAAAAAATCAACCCACTTTTCAAACAAAAACTTAATAAAAATTTTGAATTTTTAGAATCTCTATTTTATTTTATTTTTTTTTATAAGAATAAGCGAATAAAATAAATTTATTGAGGATGATGATGGTAGTATTATTGAGTTGGGATATGTATGAACGCTGACTCTGTCTATTTCACTCATTGTCATTCTGTTGAATGCGTTCACACCATCTCTCGCACATTCCGTCGAACACTTGAAAGGCGACGACTTCCCTCCCCCACAACAACCCCTCTCTCTCTCTCTCTCTCTCTCTATAGATATATATGAAACTCACATTTCTGGCTGAAGAAGCTGATTGCTTGTAAAGTTTGATCATCCCGATGAACGATACCGTTACCAACGGCAGCAAGAGAAAGAGACGAAGAAAAGATGATGGCATCAACAACAACAACAAAAACAGTGGTGGCGATGAATCGAGCGAGAAAAAACAAGGTAACAAAAAAAAGGAGGGTTTGAAAGAGATTATAACCTCACTGTTGTTGATTGACGAGCAAGAAAAGCTTGATTCAGAAGAGTGGTCAAAGACCCAACAAGAAGATAAGCTCTTATTCGATGCCAACCACAAGAAAAAGACTCGGGCTATGTTGGATTACTACAACAAGTTACAGGGTAGTTTTGATTATCTGGATCAAAATGATCGTGGGTTGAGAAGGAGGAAGTCAAGAGCTGCTGCTGCTACGGCCGCTGCTGTTGTGACTGCCGTGGCTGGGGCAGAGGAGGAGGAGGAAGAGGGCGGCGGTGGTGGTGGTGGTGGTGGAGCTGCCACTCAGAGGAGGTTGTGGGTGAAGAACAGGTCCCAAGCATGGTGGGATGAATGCAACAGTGCTGAATTTCCAGAGGAAGAGTTCAGGAAAGGGTTTAAGATGGGGAAGGAGACATTTGAGATGATATGCAATGAGCTAAGTTCGGCAGTTGCCAAAGAGAACACCAGTTTGAGAGATGCAGTGCCGGTTAGACAGCGTGTGGCTGTGTGTATATGGAGGTTGGCTACTGGGGAGCCTCTTAGGCTTGTTTCCAAGAGGTTTGGTTTGGGTATATCTACTTGTCACAAGCTCATTCTCGAGGTTTGTTCTGCGATTAGGACTGTCTTGATGCCAAAGTATCTTCAATGGCCAGATGAGGAGTCTGTGAAAAGGGTTAAGGAACATTTCGAAGCAGTTTCTGGGATACCCAATGTGGTGGGATCAATGTATACTACCCATATACCAATCATTGCTCCTAAGATTAGCGTCGCCGCTTATTTCAATAAGAGGCACACCGAGCGGAATCAAAAGACATGTTATTCGATTACGGTTCAAGGTGTTGTTGACCCAAAAGGGGTGTTCACTGATGTGTGCATTGGATGGCCTGGATCAATGCCTGATGATCAGGTGTTGGAGAAATCAGCCCTTTATCAAAGGGCCATTGGAGGGTTGTTGAAGGGTGTTTGGATTGTTGGGAGTTCTGGGTACCCTTTAATGGATTGGGTTTTGGTGCCCTATACGCAGCAGCATCTGACTTGGACTCAACATGCGTTCAATGAGAAAATTGGGGAAATTCAAAGGGTTGCAAAAGAGGCATTTGCCAGAATGAAAGGGAGGTGGACTTGCTTGCAAAAGCGAACAGAGGTCAAACTTCAAGACTTGCCGGTGGTTCTTGGGGCGTGCTGTGTGTTGCACAATATTTGTGAAATGCGGAATGAACCACAGTTGATGTGCAATCTTATCGATGATGAGATGGTCCCGGAGAATGGTTTGAGATCGGTAGCTGCAATGAAGGCTAGGGATGCAATTGCACATAACCTTTTGCATCATAACCATGCGGGCACTTCTTTTCAGTCTTGAAAAGGAGGTGCATTTTGTCCTGTGAGATTGCTTCATATTTTTTGTTTTAGTGTCTTTTTAATTTATATTTATGCACATGTTATGTCATCTTTGTGTTGTAGAATCATACAATAGCGATTCATCACTATTTGTAAAGGGGGGTCTGTAGAAGATATATTTTCTCCTTTAGGATCATATTGACTTGTAACCTAGTTCACTACTTAATATGACAATTAACAGCAGAGGTGAAAGAAATTTATGATCAAAATATTCTTTTTGTATCGTTCTCGGGTTTCCAATTTATTATGTTTTTTATTTTATTTTATTTTATAGTAACATTTGATTTCAAAGCATGATCTGTTAATTATGTAATAGCATTTGCCACAATGCATAAACCAATAAATTTATTTCTTCTGCACTCACCGACTGGTATGCCATAACTGAGTTTCTTTCACATCATGAATTAGAAGTTGAGAGAAACTTGTTGCTTGGAACTGTGTTTAGTAGGAAGATTTTATACCTAACACATCTGTTTTCACATTTATTTCTTCTCTTGTCGCCCTGATATTGCTAGGAAGCCCACAGGTTGTCAACGATTAGGTTTAGTTAGTTAGAGAAGAGGTTCTATCTTCTGAATTAAATGTATCGATGTTCACGAGTCTTCTGCTACACAAGTGTGCTGGTTAATACTATTCGGAACTCAACCATATATTTGATGATGGAATACGTTCTGATGGATATCAAGTATGAGCCTATTGTTGTTTTGGGAAAAAATTAAAAAATTAAAAATTAAAAACTGACTTGTATTCTACTTATTAAAATAGGTCTATATAAAACACTAGTGCTGTGTTTGGTTGGAGGATTTGGAGAAGGATTTGGAAAGGAAAATGAAAAATATAGGTGAAATGTGAATAAAACATGCCTATATTTCACCTAGTTTCACACACCTTTTCTCTTTCTCTTTCCAAATCCCTATCCAAATTTCCCAACCAAACACAGCATAATAGACTGGCATTTCTAGAACATACTACAATAATTACCCCATTTGTGTATGTTCATTTGGCTCCTCCAGAAAATCATTCTTACTATTTTTTTTTTTTTTT